CCCTACTGGGGATGTGCCCGAAACCAAGGTACATGCCCTTGACTGGAATCGAACCTGGGACCCTTGAGTCCGCAGGCTGATGCTCTATCCACTGAGCCAAACCGGTTAGGGCAACTACTGATAATTTTTATTGCCAATCCTAATATGAAATATTGGTAACATTTATATCAAGAGGAATATTTGATAATGTTAGAAACAATAACTTAATTTCTATATGTAATATAATCTGATTCATTATATTAGTTCTGTCAGTTTATATTAGAAATCTATTTTTATTTTTTATTTTTTTATATATTTTATTGGTTTTTTACAGAGAGGAAGGGAGAGGGATAGAGAGTTAGAAACATTGATGAGAGAGAAACATCGATCAGCTGCCTCCTGCACGCCCCCTACTGGGGATGTGCCCGCAACCAAGGTACATGCCCTTGACCGGAATCGAACCTGGGACCCTTCAGTCTGCAGGCCGACGCTCTATCCACTGAGCCAAACCGGTTCGGCTAGAAATCTATTTTTAGTACTGGTGAGAATAGATACTATACATTACAGGATCAATGATACAAATCACACTTGTAACCACATAAGTAAATTCACTGTATTAATAAACCCTTCCCAAAGCAATTTCACTCTCCACAGCACATGCCACTCTCTGATAGTGTACCATTGGTACACATCCATTGGCAACTATTGTAGTAGGCATGATGCTTTCCCCTCTTGCCCACTCTACTTCCCCCAGACTCACCATCTCTTTGTGATTGGGGTAGAAGGTCTGATCGATTAGAGGGAATTCCTCTGTCCCCAGTTTCTTGTGCAGTCGAACCATCTGGGCAAACTATGAAAGTCAAGAAAGACAAGTCAAGCAAGTCCTTCGCCTGGAGGGAGTCTCCAAGCTGGAGGTTCCAAACTTCCAAACTCCCTCAGTTCCCCCCAAATCACAGTGATTTTGAGCTCCCGCATGCATTCATGAGATAGTCCTTCTGCCAATAACACCCTTCTTGTCACTTACCACCCAGGGCTTGTCACAGAAGTTGTAGACAGAATGCAAAGAGTTAACACTGGGGATTCCAGCATACTGCAGCCCAATGACCAAACTGCGGTGGTCTCCATTCCTTGCCATGCTGAAGGCATGCTGACGAATCAGCACAAAGTCCGGCTTCAGAGACCTGGGGTGCAGGGGTAGGAGTGTTGAGGATTCCCCCCAGAAGCTTCCCACCACCCTTACAACAAAGAGCAAGTTTCCATATGTCCACAGCTCCTAACAATTGTGAAGTGGCTTCTCACCTCAGCACACATGCGCAAGCTGTTCTTCCCCCACAAGCACCCTTTCCTCATCTGGTGACCCCTTGAAGCCTTTCCTACCGGCTCCTCTCCTCACCAGGTCAGCTTCCAGCTTACCTACTCAGCTCTGACAGCCCCCTGGGTCACAATGTCTCCGACTACTAGCTGTTCTCAAAGAATGCTGCCCAGAATAAAGTCCAGCCTCAGGGGCTTTACACAGGTGTTCACTCTGCCTGAAACATTTTCTCCCTAGATAAATGGTGTCCCAAAATTCACGCAAGAAGTAATTTTGATAGAAAACACAGGTTTATGATTTAAAATTGTAAATTTTTATTGATTCATAAAGTATACAGTATAGGGTTATGTATGGAATAGCATATCGGGTAAATGACCTCCACAGCGTTGCTGGCACATACGCACTCTTTTGTTGAAATTTTCCATGACCGTTTTGCATAAATGTGGCTGAATTTCAATGAGGCTCATTTTCATCTTGATGGCTTGGTTAATCGACAAAATTGTCACATTTGGGGTTCAGAAAATCCACCAGTGATTGTTGAGAAACAAATGCATCCACAACGTGTCACTGTTTGGTGTGGATTTTGGGCTGGAGGCATCATCGGACCATTCTTCTTTGAAAATGAGGCTGCTCAGGCAATAACAAAAGAGTGTGTATGTGCTAGCAAAGCTATGGAGGCCATTTACCTGATATGCTATTTCATACATAACCGTGAATTTTGGGACACCCTTTACCTGCATGTAGCTCTCCTTCACCTCCTTTAGGTCTTCCTCAAATGTCTCTTAAACTAGTGGTCCACCTTATCCAAATTTCAGACTCCTCCACTGCTGGAAGCAAATTCCAGCAGGTTATAATTATGCAAGAAGTTCATCAGAAGGCTGATGGACACCTTCAGCAGGGCTGAAGATCTGCATATTACTGCCTGCTGCCAGACAGCTGAGGGCAGTTCCCCAACCTGATAATACTTTATTGTTTACCAAATCTTACCTTGGAGATGTGTATCTGCTTTGCTATAGGGCAAAATGTGAGAATAAAAAGCCGTGGGTCCGGAGATTCGGAGAGTTTAGTCACTAGAACTAAGTTTCTGTCTGGCACCCCGAAATGCCTTCCAAATTCATATTTCTTCTCTAGTCTTAATTTATGCACAGCCTTTCTCCAGATTCCTTGAACCCTTGCAGATGCGGGAAAGACCCCATCACTCCACTAGCCAACAATCCCTTTGCTGCTATATATTTTTCTTATCACTTTTACATTTTTAAAGTAATCTGTTTATTGTGTGTATCTCTCAGTAGAATGTAAGCTTCATGAGGGCAGAGAGATTTTGTGGGTTTTTGGTCTTTGGGGAGTCTGTTTTGTTCACTGCCAGGTCCTCAGCATGTAGAACAGTGCTTGGGCACAAAGGGTGCTCAATAAATGTCTGTTGAATGTAAAATGCTGAGAGCAGCACCTGGTATACAGTGGATACTCAAGAAATAATTTTTGAATCAATAATTGAAAAGTTGCTTTGTGGTCTGCTGGGATTCTTGACTCTTCTTCAGAAGAGAAGCTATCTCCCACATTCTGTGCTTAAGTTTTTTTTAATGGAAATATATTTGACAGATAGCATTGTGTAAATTTAAGGTGTACAACTGATGTGTTAATTTGATACATTTATATATTGTAATGTGATTGTCATTGCAGCGATAGCACATCTATTATGTCACAATTATCCTTTCATTTTTGTGGTGGAATAATTGAGATCTAGTTTCTTAGAATATTTGATGATTATGATACAATATTGTTGCCTATAATCACTTTACTGTACATTAGATCTCCAGGACTTATCTACCAGTTGCAAGTTTGTACCATTAACCAACATCTCTCCTATTCTCCCAGTCCCCAGCCACTAGTAATCATCATTTTACTCTCTATTTTTATGAGTTTGGCTCTTTTAGATTTCACATGTAAGTGATATCATATTGTACTTGTCTTTCTCTGATTTATTTCACTTAATATAATGTCCTCAAGGTCCATATATGTGGTCACAAATGGCAGGATTTCCTTCTCTCTCATGGCTGAATAATATTCCTGTGGGGTGTGTGTGTGTGTGTGTGTGTGTGTGTGTGTGTGTGTATCTCACATCTTCTTTATCCATTTGTCCATCGATGGACACTTAAGTTGTTTCCATGGCTTGTCTATTGTAATGTGCCTAAGTTCTTGCTCACAGAAGGATGGGTGCAGAGGTGAAGATTCTCCCTCAGATCTAAGGGAGTCCTTATACCTCTCCCATAACACCAAGGTACCCTTCTTGTACTCACCTCATAACCTTCACCCCATTCCGAAGAACTTCCATGTCCACAGAGAACCCACCATTGGCGTGAGCCACAAGATTGAGGTCAGAGAATTCAGCCTGGAAAGGAAAAAAATCCGTGATTCATTCACATCACACAAAAATGACCACTCAGTTTGCAATCCGGACAGTTGATCCCCAGGTCCACCTGTCGCAACTAACCTGTTCTACTTTAATGTCAATTTCTCCATGGAGCTTTTTCCCTTTGAAGTATTTCGCCCTGTAGAGGAAAAGCAGAACACATCTATCAATGCTCAAATCTCAGGAAGACAAAACCCAGGCCAGTCCTTTGACCCCTTTGCCCCTGCAGCGTCTCTAGAGAAACCATACAGTGATTGTTATGATGGTTGAAATACTTTGAAAACTCAAACAGTGCTTTGTGAACAATAAAGTATTCCTCATGGAGGTGTGTAAATGTCAAAGAACACTACAAATTTTAAAAAAAGTCCTTAAACCCCAGAGAGCAGATATTTCTTAAAGTATGGTCTGCTTGCAACACTGCTATCATAAATGTTTTTGGAAAGCTCCGAAAAATGAGGAGTGCTTTGTAAACTGTAACATACTTTGAAATTGCATGGAGTTTATAATGGCAGAGAACCTTAGAAAGTACAAACATATGACGTGTGCCTGGGTATGGCTCAGTGCCTGTATCTGCTTATACAGCCTGAAGCATCTCTCTGTTCTCTGGCCCTTTCCCAAGGAGGAGTGCATTCACCATGTGTGGCCGTGTGCCGTGAAGGACAGAACAGCCATGGGTGGGGGCACGGGTATCAGAAAAGGAGGAGCAGATTGAGGGGTGCAGGCTGGTGGTGGTTCCACAGAAGCTGGAGACTGCAACAGTGGGGGTGGGGGGAATCAACTGAGGATGAGTGGAAACCATAGGAGGGAAGAGGGGTAGGAGCAGCAAGTAGGCACATCATGAACTGCTATGTCACTGTCCCTATGCCCATCCCCAGCAGGGCTAGGTTTCCGGTGGCCTCTTCCCCCAGGCCCAGGATTTCCTACCTGATAAGCTTCTCCACAGACAGAAGCTTATCCCCAATTTTTTACAGACATGAGACAAGGGGAGAAGTCACTCCTGGGGTCATTGACATGCACACAATCAGGGTCTCTGACACATACACACAATGCAACAGGCCCTTGTGCCTTGAATGACATGCCCAAAGACCTCAAACACAGTTATTTCCTCTCTCTCTCTCTCTCTCTCTCTCTCTCTCTCTCTCTCTCTCTCACACACACACACACACACACACACACACACCCTCCATTACTGACAATGACCCCACACAAGTGCTGGAAGAGAATCTTTTTTAGATATGTGCATTTTTAAAAATAAAATGATGACAAGTGCAAACTATATCACTATTTTTAAACTTTTCCCCCCATAAGTATAGTGGGTACTCTGCTCAGATCTTCTCTTCAGGGCCAATGCCCTCTGAATATCAGTTGTTGACAGCTTACGGCTGTGTCCAACTGGGAACTGTCTTAGTTACAGGGAACTGCCTTAGCCAAGGTTATACCTACTTCGGGCAGCGCGTGGCTTATATCTGGTCTCAGTGAGGACAAAGGCTGCCTGTTTGCCTCAATATAGGCTGACTCCTAAGGACTATTCCCAGCCCCAGAGCTCCCCCTAGGACCAGCTTAGGCCTCTGATACAACCACATTGTGGACCAACTTCTCTGTCTGCCCAACCCTGTCCTCCTTACAGGTAGGTGTTGATCCCAAAGGCACTCTGCAATGAGCTTCCCACATGCAAAATTCTGCTTCCAAACTGGTTTCCAGAGAACCCAACCTAAAACAGTGGGCCAGAGACGTCAAATGACAAAGACTCTAATGCTATTCTGGAGCTGAGTCACCCGGCAGCTAGCAGGCAACGTGAAACCATCATTTGTCAGGGGTGGAGCACAGATAGCCCCGGCAGGCTGTGTTGACTCCAAGTGCTCGGCAGCGGCTCCGGGCTGTGATGCAAGCAGTCCTGCCACTCAGGCCATTTGATCCATCAGATCCTATGACACTGGAGGTGTCAACAGTGGAAAAAGATACAATGTGAAGCTTAAGAGAAGCTCGAGTGGGAGGCCCCTGGGGCCCTGGAGCAAGGCCATGCCATCTGCAGCATAGAATTACACGCCTCTTGAGAAACAAATCTTGGTGTAATATTGGGCCCTGATACACAGTTACTTGACCAGGGGGTACCAAGTAACTGTGTACCCAGAAGTGTCCATTATAAGCTAGATCCTGCCAGGCCTGCCAAGTAATACAGTCAGATGGGTCCAGCAGCCAGGATACCAGGCAAGCTGCCTGAGCAGGTAACCCAGATGCCCATGTCATCCACCTTATTGCTACTGCCTCCCTCAGCTCACTAAGGGGACTCCTTTATCCAACCAGTGGATAAAGGAAGAAAAAGTCTGAGCTTGCTTCACAAATAGATTGCCTTGGTATGTGGGTGGAAGACAAAAATGGACAGTGGCTGCACCATAGTCCCATTCAGAGCTCCCAATGGGCAACGCTGTGAGCTGTACCCTTGGCCATCTACTTTTTGGGGAAAAAGAAGTGGCCAAAGATTAGAATATATATTTATTCACTGGTGGTGAATGGCTTGGCTGATTTGTCAGAGGCTTTGAAAGAAATATATTGAAAGATTAGAACAAGGAGGTCTGGGACACAAAAATGTGGGTGGACATATGGGAGTGGAGATGAAGTGGAAAGAGGAGAAAAGATCTCTGTATTGTATTTTAACACCCACCAGACAGCATCCGCCACAGAAGTGGCACTAAGCAATCAGGTAGATAGAATGAGTCAGCTAGATGATGTCAGCCAGCCTCTTGAATCAGTCGCCCCAGTGCTGAGCACATGCACGAAATGGCAAGAGGAACAGAGATAGAAGCTATATGTGAGGGTCTACAGAATTATTGAAGAATATTCAACCTGCCAGCAACAGAGACCAATATTGAATCCCTGACATGGCAGCATCACTCAAGAAGACCAACCAGCTACTTTGTGGTCTCTTCCACCCTGGAAAGAGTAATGATTAATTTTGACTGGAATATTCTATGTATGGGTTTGCCTTTCCTGACTGCAGGACCTGAGACAGCATCACTGTTCAAGGGCTTACACAGTATGGGATCCCACAAAACATTACATCAATCATGAAAGGAGGTGCAAAAGTGGGCCCATGACCATGGACTCAACAGATGACCTATATACCACAGCACCCAGAAGTTGCTGGCCTCATTGTTATGGAACAACTTCTTGCAGCCACAGCTAAGACCCCAGCTTGGAGGTGATACCGTGAACGAATGGGGCACCATCCTTCAAAACCCAGTGTACACCCTAAATCAATGACCATTGTTTGTGCTGTGTTTCTAATAGGTAAAATACATGGGTCTGGGAACCCAGAGGTGAAAGTAGAGTGGCCCAGCTTACCATCAATCTCAGTGATCCACTTTTGGAATGTGTGTCTCCTGTTTCCTCAGAGCTCTGCAAGGTTAGAGGTCCTGGTTCTCCAGGGGGGACACTACTACCAGGAGACACAGCAAGAATCCCATTACATTCTAAGTTTTGAGTGCTACCTGGACACTTCAGGTTTTGCATGCCAATGGACATGAAGAGGAGTCACTATCTGGGCAGGGGTACATGACCCTGATCATCAGAAGGGGCAGGGCTGGTGTTACAGTGGGGGCATGGAGGAACCTAGGTGATCTGCTTGGGTATCTGTTGGTATTCTTTGCTTAACTTTGATGGTAGAGGGACAAGAATAGCAGCCACAGCCTGAGGAGAGCATGGGCTCAGAGATCTCTCAAGGGCTCAGAGATCTCTCAAGGATGAGGGAATGGATCATGCACCAGGTAAGCCACCAAGACCAAGAGAGGTTCCATCTGAGGGTGAGGGGAATTTAGAATGTATAGAAGAAGACAATGCATATCATTTATTTATGCTGCATTTATCAACTGTGGCAGTGGAGGCTGTCTTTCATCCCACCAACCATGCTCTTTCAGGTTTCTCCCAGAAAACAAGGTCAATTACAATCCTGGAAATGCTGTTCTCAGATTGGGTGAACTTACTCTAAGAAGCAAGTGAATCTGAGTAGTACAAAGGGTAGACTGTGTGCTCCATCCAGATCCTCACGCCCTCTCCTCAGGCCTTCCCATCTATCCCCCAGCTTCCTGGAACAGCTATTGTTGAAGCCTCACAGTGCTGTCCCGCCCTGGGAATTGCCCTCTGTAGCACGAATTTGCCTTCCCCAAGATTGTTCCTCCTCCCAGGGGACAGCCTGTGGTCAATGATGGGCTGATGCAGGAATTCAGAAGCATGGGTACCTCAACTCCATTGGGGGTAACTCTAGAGTGTCCTCCCAGCTCCAGAGCTCCCCAGAGGATCGTCTGAGGCCTCTGTCATGGCTGCATCATAGCTCAACCTTTCCCTCTGCCAACTCTTGCTTCCCCTACACCTCCCCCGCAACAGGTGTTGTTCCTCAGAGCTCTCCCCAAGAAATCTGCATGCAAATCTCAGCCTCAAGATCTACTTCTAGGGAAGTCACATAAAAGAAGCCATGATAATAAATATAGTTTATATAACCCATTATATAAATATTTACATAATAACCCACCCTATATATGTAACACATATTATATAAGACACATATAATATGTTATACAGCAAACATAAAATAGGATGTCTTATACAATATATAACACAATATATGGCATATTACATATTATGTGTAGATGTATCCAGAATGTATAGTAGAATGTGTTTAAATATACATATACTAGAGGCCCAGTGCATGAAATTCATGCATGGGCAGGGTCCCTAGGCCTGGCTGGCAATCAGTGCTGATCTGTGGGGTGACTGAAGGGGTGATGGCGGGGGACCACTGGCACCCACCTTGGCTGGCCTGGGGCCTGTGGGCTGGGGGCAGCTCCTGCATTGAGCGTCTGCCCCCTGGTGGTCACTACGCATCATAGCGACCAGTCATACCAAAGTTCAGTCGATTTGCATATTAGACTTTTATTATATAGGGTAATCAGAATTAAAGTTTCAGTAAATAATTATCTTTACTATGTGCAATGGAGTCTGAAGTTTCCTATTCTATTTTATTTCATTTCATGAAGAAAAGCACACACATATATGCATTATATACTATAAACCCATTATATAATAGATGTATTATATAGTATATGTCATATACAATATATGGCATATATTATTGGTTATATTTCTTTTTAAAAAATATATTTTATTGATTTTTTCAGAGAGGAAGGGAGAGGGACAGAGTCAGAAACATCGATCAGCTGCCTCCTGCACACCTCCTACTGGGGAGGTGCCCGCAACCAAGGTACATGCCCTTGGCCGGAATTGAACCTGGGACCCTTCAGTCCGCAGGCTGACGCTCTATCCACTGAGCCAAACTGGTTAGGGCTTGATTATATTTCTTATTGGAGTAACAGTTTTACTAAATAATAATTCCACTTACTATGTGCAATATACTCTTTTATTTTCTATTTTCATTTATCCTACTTCATGAAGCAAATGAAATGCTGGTCACAAGCCAATAAATAGGTGGCCCACAGTTTGGAAAACGCTGGACTAAATTATCTCTAAAAAGGGTAGATGAGTCTCAACTTTAAATCATGGAGAACTCAAGACCCAAAAAGGAATGAGAGTGGTGAAGTTTGGCAGGAAGGGTGTCAGACTGTACTTAGGTGTATAATCCCATAGAGTTTGCACAATTCCTCCTTTATTCCAGGCTGAGATCCCTAAAACTTGCATGAATGTCTGCAAGTTGGTGATGCAGAGGTATCTGTTCCTCACACTGAGCCTGGTGTACACAGGGTCTCTCTTTTTATTCATTCTGCTCCACCTATGGTAGATACCAAATAAATATTTGCTAGATTGACTGGAAGAAAAGACTAGAGCAGCTGCTGGGATAAAGGGGAGGTGGTTCTGGGATGCAGAAGGGGAAGAGAAGAATCTTTCACTGAATTCAGCAGGTTCTCAATAAATGTTTGCTGGACAAACTAGAAGAAAAAAAGATAAACACTAGAGTTGTGATTATGGACAGGAGAAAGGTCTTGTCAATATTCAATAGGTAATTAATAAATGCTTGCTGGAATGAAGAAAAAAGCAGCAAAGCACCTGCCTGGAGGGTCAGAGTGAAGAAGGGAAGTCTGAAGGAGGGTGGTTAGCAATATTCAGAAGGGGCCTCATGAAGGTTTGTTGACGTCAATGGAGCAAATTTAGCCAGAAAGATGGCATCTGTGTGAGTGGGTGTTGGTGAAGGAATTATACCATGTGTTCAACAAATGCTTTATGGATTGTTGGAGAAAAGACTGGGAGGGCCTGCTGCAGGGATGGGAATGTGGCTGTTTGAACAGAATACAGTAAGAGATTGATAAGTGACTTTTGGATTAATTGGGGAAAGGGGCAGTTGAGAAGATGGTTACTAAGTGGGGGAGGGGACCTGGCCAGAATATAATAGGTGCACATTAAGAGCTTTCAGGATTGTGTAGTGTGGAAGGCAGGGTGAAGATTATTGAAAGGGGAATTAGGGCTACAAGAGGGGTAGGAGAAGGGGCATTGAATAAGGGGTTCTTAGAAGTATACAATAAGTGCTCATTAAAGAACTGTGGTGTTAAATAGAGGAAAAGATAGAGAATCCAGTTTATGTTTAGGATTAGAGGGAAGAAGTGAAGGAGGGGTTGTCCTAGTATATAGTAGTGCTTAATAAATGCCTCCCACACTCTGACACATGAAAAGTATGCATTTAATATCTATAGAATGAATAAATGGCTCTGAATAGAAAGGCTGCTGGCTAAGGGTTCCTGGGGGTGTGGTTATCTAAATAGTAAAGAACTGGTAATCAATATATTTAGACTGAAGTAGACCCCTTGGGGGTGGGTAGCACTTGAGACAGGGGCAAAACTTCCAGATTTGGAATGACCTTTATATAGTAGGCTCTCAATAAACGTTTAGTGGCTTAAATAGAAAGAAGACCCTTTGGGGTATCGACTTAAGAGTGAGAGAGGGAATCCCAAGGACATTGAAGGGAGTGGAAAGGGGGTAACCCTTAAAAATTGGGCTCTAGACTTATCAAATGAAGGACCCTGGAGAGAGGCTTATGATCGGTGCAGGTTCTCCTAAGAGTAATGAAGGAGAATGTACTCCCTACACACAACAGGCACATCCTCCCTACACACATACATGCTCACTGGATCCACTAAAAGAAAAGGACTTTGGGGAGGAGGTGTGAACATAGAGTATACAGAAGTGACTCCATACATGCTCTCATTGGAGGAAAAGGCCTTTGAGGGAAGGTGATTAGAATTGAGCACTTGGCAGACAGGGAATAAATGCACACTGAATCCACTCAGAGAAATGGTATTTGGGGAGGGAGGGCTAGGGATGGGTATATAATCACTGGATCATTGGAGAAAAATCTTTTGGGGAAGGGGAGTGGGGATCCTCCATCCATGGGGAGGAAAGACTTTTGTGGAGAAGGCACAGAATCAGGTGCACAGCAGGTGCTCCACAAATGCTCCAAGGAGTGACTAAAAAGATAAGGGCTCTGGAAAAGGGATTGAAATGGTGCACACAGTGCCAGATATCTGATTACTGTATTAATTGGAGGCAAAGGCCTTTAGGGACAGGGTCTAAGTTTGGATCATGCAGAAGGTGCTCAATACATGCAGATTGAAGCCACTGGAAGAAAGGCATTGGGGAAAGGGTTTGGGGTAAACAGCAGGCACTCAATAAATGCTTGTTGAATACACTGGAGGAAAGAGTCTTTAGAGAAGGACCACACAGTAGGCAGTTGATAAGTGCTAGATGGGTCTATGAAAGGAAAGGTCTTTGAAGGAGTAGCTGGAGGATGGGGGATAAAAGAGGCACTCAATAAATGCCTTCTAGATTCATTGTAGGAAAAGGATTTGGGGGAGAGTCTGAAGATATATCACACTCAGAAGGCTCAAAAATGATCATGGAACTAATTTGAAGAAAATGATACATTTGAGAAAGGGGCTTGGGGATGGGGCATACATCAAGCACTTAATTAATGGTTTCTAGATTCTTTGGAGAAATAGGCCCTTGGAGAGGGGGCCTGAGGTTGGGGGCACACAGAGGGCATTCAATAAAGGCTTACAAGATCCATTAAAGGCAACACCTTTGGTGAGAAACTGGGGTAGGATACACAGCAGGCACTCAATCAATGTTCACAGTTTAGGTGGTCTTTGAGGAGAGGGCTGGGGTGGGCACATAACTCACTCTGGATATATATACTCACAAGATCTATTAGAGAAAAGGCCTTAGGGCAAGGGTTGAGGGCACAAGATACATGTCAAGCTCTCAATGAATGTTCACAAAATTCATGGAAGCCAAAGGTCTTGGGGAAGGACTCCTGTTGAGGTACACTGCAGGTACTTGATAAATGCTCAGAAGATTCATTAGAGGACAAGGCCTTTGGCGAGAGGGTTGGGGGGGGGGGCAAAGGCACATTAGGTTCTCAAATGTTCACAGGATACATTGAAGCCAAGGCTTTTGGGAAGGAGGTACACAACAGGTGCCTGATAACTGCTCC